CCCCCCGTAAGTCCACCCAGGGGAACAGCTGATGTTTGGGGCCTTATTTCCCCATCGCCCCCCCGTCTCTTCCCCTTTTCTTCTCCCCCCCCCGTCCCGCCGCCCTCTTTCCAAACAGGTACAAAACATGTCCCAATCTATAGAGGTGCTGGACCGGCGCACTCAACGGGACCTCCAGTACGTGGAGAAAATGGAAAACCAGATGAGGGGACTGGAGTCCAAGTTTAAGCAAGTGGAAGAAAGCCACAAGCAACATCTGGCGAGGCAGTTCAAGGTGAGCCTCGGGGGGGGGAATAAAAGATCAGACAGGACTCCCCTCCTTAAGCGGGTTGCTCCTTGGTCTCAAAGAGAGCCTTGGACTCCTCTCGGGGGGGCCTCGGGTCTAAGGCAGCCTCTGTAAATCACCAGATTGGGGAGATGAGCCTGCCCAGAGACAGCCCAGAGGTGCCACACACACACACACATGCTTCCAGAAGCTTTTCCTTGGGGCGTAGAGAGAGAAGCCTTTCATGTCACGATCCGAGTTGTTTTGAAGTCAGCGCTAGAGGCAGAATCAGAATTTTCCCTGGTTCTGTGGGTCAGCTAACCGGCGGGGGGGGGGCTGGCTTCACCGGGGAGGTTTTCACTCCCTGTTTTTCCATCAGCTTGCTAAATGTTCAGCTCTCAGATTACCCTGAAAGCCACCAGAGCAGGGCCCACAAGTTAGATCGATTGGTTGGTTGATCGATCGATTTAAACGACTTATTCTCCCCACCTTTCTTCTCAACAACTGGGCGGACGCCTCTATGGAAAAAGCACCGGAATTCTCCCTTTTATGTCCCTCCCCTCCCCCTTTGCATCTCTCCTTCTCTCTCTCTCTCTCTCTTTCCCTCAAAGTTCATCTGAGCACCCGGGGATCATGTTGCCTGCCTGATAACTGCTGGAGAGCTCCGGAGGTTTAGTTCTTTGACTGCAGAGCCCAAGGGTCAGAGCAGGGCCCACAAGTTAGATCGATTGGTTGGTTGATCGATCGATTTAAACGACTTATTCTCCCCACCTTTCTTCTCAACAACTGGGCGGACACCTCTATGGAAAAAGTACTGGAAATCTCCCTTTTATGTCCCTCCCCTCCCCCCTTGCATCTCTCCTTCTCTCTCTCTCTCTTTCCCTCAAAGTTCATCTGAGCACCCAGGGATCATGTCGCCTGCCTGATAACTGCTGGGGAGCTCAGGGGGTTTAGTTCTTTGACTGCAGAGCCTGAGGTTGGGGGTTCGATTCCCCCACTGGGGCCTCCTTGAGAGGGGCTGGACTGGATGACCCCACAGGGTCCCCTTTTCCAGCTCTGCCATTCTAAGGTGATCTAATGTTTTGCATAATTTATTTTTGTGGTGCAAAACATGGGAAGGGGTCCACAGGGCATGGAGGCTTAGATAGTACTGGCCATGAGACATCCACCAAACTGTGGAGGGAAGCCGTCGCTCCTTTCAGAGGAAAAGCCATGGCTCATTCATTTATTAATTCCCCAGAGTATCCCCGCTACCCAAGTCCAGCCCAAATTCTCCTGGGAATGAGGACAACCCAGTGCTGGGGACTGGATCTTTGGTTCTTTTTGTTGAAAAACCCAACAGAAGCCTCTGGTAGAGAATGGAAATTTGATTTTTTTTTTTGCACCAAAATAGCACTCAAGCTGCATGAGGGAAGAGAGGAGAAGGGGAGTGTCTTTTCTGGGAGGGCGGTTTTGATTCCAAAAGCTTGGCAGAGAGCCTCATTGGAATGGCTCACTCACTCAATCAATCAATCATCAATCCATCAGCCAGCCAACATACCTACCTACCTACCTATACCCACCCGCCCATCCATCCATCCATCCATCCATCCATCCATCCATCCATCCATCCATCCATCCATCCATCCATCCATCCATCCATCCATCCATCCATCCATCCCTCCATCTATTGAC